GGACCGCCCCCCCAACCACCCCACTCTTTCCGTAGCGTTGGTCTAAGTCCTTGAGGCGAAGAGAAAGAAACCAGAGTGATTGTACTGCAGTCTATGGCGCTGCCATGTGGCCTCGGTCACGTGGGTTCGTGACGTAAGGGAAAGAGAATCTTGGGGTCATGGGGCTTCTCCTGACCTAGATTCTATCTCTCCGTCACCGGCAGAATCGCTGATTAATGCCTACAGTTCAAAATAGTCATTTTGACTGACCGGAGTCTATGGTGGGTAATTGAACGTAGTGAATTGGCGAGTTAGGAGAACCCTCTGCCTAAATTCACCATAATCGTGGTGGTGAACTGTTTAGTGGATTTTTCAAAAGATGGACATTCAATTCATATTCATCCCAACTTATTTGAATATTCTTTCGGAAATTTGAGACATTTTCAAAAAATCGTGTACAGTTATGTCTGATGTCAACTGATAATACGCAATTATTCAGCCAGTACTAGAAATTATTGCTGATACTAAACATATTTTGTATTGGGAAGTCCCCAGGCGTGTAGTAGATGAGCATATTCGTACTGTCACATGTTTTTCGTCTTAGCCTTGATTTTCATTTTAACCGTCGCAGTCCGCTTCTTTGAATGTTTAGTTTGATAATTTATAAACATATATTAAGTGTGAGACTGTTGCTTTCAAGTTGTGTTAATACAAAGATGATTTAAACTTGTCCCTTCCGTTGCCAACGTATTCAATATACGGAAATAGACGATTGCATTTATTTTGTACTTTCATACACAAAATCTATCGCTGGCACCATTTATTTTGTCATTTCTCACAACTGATGTCCAAGCTGACTTTGTTTTGGCTGTATGTTATTATCTGTTACCGTAACTCCATAATTACAGTGTGACGCAATTTTGCGGTATTGCACTGGGTATATTCATCCTACCATATTAGGAAACTTGAATTCCAAATATAGAGCGATTACGCGCATGAGCATCCTCTAATAATAAAACCAAACATGGCAGCCCACAGGATTTGACCAGACTCCACACAAAGAAGTTCGCTAAATCTGTTCTAAACTTTTTGAATTTCGGCATTTTCATGATTTATCCTTGGAAGGAAAAAATGTATAATAACGAGGTTACTGCAAGGATACCTCAAAGTATGCACGAAGACAGTACAGCGGGAGTATTGACCGTTGCGCAGCGAAGGCCGATGCAACGGCGTACTGTCTGAGTTATAATTAGTAAGTATAGTATGAACATTCAAGACAACATTTGTGATTGAAGTTCTGTTGTAACAACTGTAAATTTAACAGTAACAAACTGACCTTTGAAAGCTACAAGTTTTCTTGCTAAATATATTGTATATTTTTATGTTATTTTTCTATAATTTTAATCAAATAGACATAATCTTAACATTCGCTACAAGTCTTGAACAACATTTCTGGTATACCGGTATTATAAGAAAGACTAAAAAAATGAAGCTCAGAGCATGCACTTATGATAGAGCAAACATGTTTGCTACAACTCATGCACACATTTAAATTGTGTACTCTGTTTTTAATTGATGTCTAATACAAATTGAATATCATTCTATCCTTGTCTTATTACAAAAGGAATAGCAGCTGCCGCAGTTCAGCACCAAGATGTCAACCCTCCAACTCAACAACTGCGGGTGGCATTTGATGGTGACGCCGTCCTTTTCTCCGACGAGTCGGAAAGAATTGTTAAAGAAGAAGGTCTGGTAAACTTTTTTGAACATGAGACGAAATTAGCAAATGAACCCATTGGTGAGGTAAGACTAATTAGCCAATGTGATTGATTATGGATTGAAATACCGATAATTAGACATTTTATAAAACATGACAATCAGCAATGACCTCACTGAGAGGCAAGACTATAATTAGCTTGTACCTACATCAAATTTCAATCAGATCGTCATTTGGCCAGAGTAGTTGTTAGACTACGTAGCTTGGTAATAAAGTTTATTCGGTAGCGGTATTACGATACATTGATTACATAATTTGTAGCCAGGGACCCACCGTGAAAGACAGACAGATTAATTGGCCATTGAAACCAATAATCAATAATGAAAATCACGAAAATTGAAAGGGTTTGTTGGTTTTAATAGGTCAATGTATTCAGATGTATAGAGCCTATTATTAGTTGTAGTAGTTTTATTTTAACTTTCATGTTTTACAGACTTTCTCTGTACAAATTATGTATAAATTATTCTTTTTGTCTGTGTTTCATATCAGGGGCCACTGAAAAATTTTGCTGAAAAACTTGGACGTATTCAGAAAAAATTCCCGAAGACCTCTGCATCTTGCTGTGAAATGCCCATTCGTACATATCTTGTAACTGCAAGGAGTATGGCAAGCGCTGGAAAACGAGCATTGGTGACTCTGCGATCTTGGGGATTGGAGATTGATGAAACATTTTTCCTTAGTGGAGCAAAGAAAGCCCCATTCTTAGAAACAATCAAACCTCATCTATTCTTTGATGACCAAGAAATGCATATTTTAGCTGCCTCGGAATCGGGAACTCCTTCAGCACATGTACCACATGGTGTTGCTCAAGAGTACGGCAAGAAAGACAAGGTTAAAAAAACACTGTCATCTGAGTTTTAGCATTGTCCATTTCATGAGAAAATACTGTATACCTCCAACAAAATAGATTAATGTCCAAACCCTGCAATTTTCTAATTTAAATTTTTTTTTTTCATTTTTACCAGTGTTTTCACCATTGTACATATTGTACTTAATGTCACCAAGATCTGTACTGACAGCTAGAGCAAGCTTGTATATCAGTTTGGAAATCTCATTGTCATGCAGTACATCAAATTATAGATATACATGTATTACTTGTTAATTTAGTTATAGGTTTTGGTCGATATATAAATCTATTTGTCATTTTTCGTTATACATGTATCTTATTTTTATAGTTAAGCCAATAGGATACACAGGATGAATGGCAAAAAAAAATAATAGCGCGAAGTCCTATCTATGAATTGTTAAGGTTGATGTAATATAATTAATTAATATATATTTAAGTGTTAATGTCCAAGGCCTACGTGTATTTTGGTGCTAAACCTCTCAATTTATTATTTGTAGATATTTTTAAGGAGGTTCTGACCAAATTGAAGATTACATATTAATATTTTCATGCATTCATAATTATGGATAAATGTCATTATGATATTGAAACACCATAGAAAATAAATTTGAGTCATCTGAAAATTTTTCAAGATATTAAAGAGTACACAATTTTGCAAATTTGCATTTTTGTACTGGTTTCTATGACGAAATATTTCATCATATCTTGGAATTTCACTCAGTGACATGAGAAAATTCATATACCTGGGGTATTACTGCTAAAACATTTCAAACCATGGTTAATTTTGATAGCGAGTTTCCAGTGTGAAAACATTTTCCCATTATGAACAGTATGAGGTTGTCTACCATGTTTACACTATTTGCAGTAACATGCTCAGTGGTGCAAAATTAGAATTCAGTTTGAATTTCCTTCAGCACTCGCATTACATGAATTTGTTTGCACATCCATCATGTATTGGCAATGCTTGCAAAAAGAATGCACACAGCGATTCATTCGAGATTCAGCTTAAATTTTTTTAAACTTATGAAATATAAATGTATAAAATTAATGTACTTGCATGTACAGTTGTTTGTATGTATGTATGTGTGTGTGTGTGTGTGTGTGTGTGTTAAGCAGTACATTTTCAGAGTAAGTGATTACTATCACAATCCATTCCATTTTTAATAGATTTTAAGTATATATAGCTCTTTTAATCATCACATGACTGTTCAAGAGACATTTTTAGCTCACTGACTTTCATCAAAAGACTGGGCAATTTCATTCAATCTTGTTTATGAAGATTATATTTAATATTTCACTATAATGTCATGTGTAGTGGTTTGATTCACAATGGCTGACTGCCATTTATATATTTGAGTTACACATCAATTGTACCTATACATGACAACACTTGCTATATATACCATAGGTAACATGTCATTAAATTAGTTCTGTGAACACGTGAATGAAAGGAACACGTAACTACCAACATCGTCAACAAACTTACTAACGAATCCCCTGTGTTGATGTCTGGAGATTCAATTTGAAACACTTTGGGCCATCTCATTCTCAAAAGGAGGTGGTGGGATTTACTGAGAGGGGCACACTCAACTAGATACTTTATGCAAAATTTTCGTATTTTTTCTTGTTTTGCACTATTTTAAATGTAATAAATTATAAAGTACAATTACAATGATAATTATTTAAAATTCATATACTGATCATGCCCCTTCACAGTAATTGTTAGCACATAAATTCATTTTTTTTCATTTACATCCAGTGCCAAATACGCAGTATTTGCAATACTGTCCACTTTTCCATTAATAATTAGCTCAATCCCTCATGGTGACCATAACCTCTATTCTTTTGGTAGTGTTTTTAGCGTACACATTCAATACATTACTGGTACACATCAAAGAATACAAGATCACGCAATGAAGAGAAAAGTAGAACTACAAGTGCCATAATTGTTTTTTCTATGTATTTGGTGACCTTAATTTCAGGCAGCCACCATCTAGATCTGTTTCATTTATTTATCTTGTATAATTTAGAAACGACCAAAGGAAGATGTTTAGCCATTTATTTGCTGACTATGTCATGACAGATCATTTGTGCAGCATTGAGTATCCACAATATTGGAAAAATGTGTGGTTCCTCAGAGTTACTCATCATGTAATGATACCATTTACACTCAGTTTAATTTATTTGTACTGTTTTATTATTAATTAATGCAGTTTGTAGTGCTTCCACTTAACAGTAAATAAATTACTATTTTTTATGTGTAACTCTGTTTTCTTATACACGTGGTAAAAAATGGTAGTGATACGTAAATCATGATCTTATGTCCAGGAAAATATAACAAAATGTGATACAGCAGACCACATGGATGACCTCATGTCGGCCAAATATCCTCGCACTTATCAATGACAATTTTTCAGTTTTAATTCTCACTGAAGTTCAAAATCAGTTAAAAAATCAGGAATAATATTAGGGCAATCCACCCACCCCCAAATGCAGGATGTGTGATTTTAGGGATCATTTATTTCAAAACCATTAAGCATACATATGTAAAATAAAACCATATACTGGTATCTTGGCATCACTGCTCATTTTATGGTAGGTTTTAACTATTGTGTTTGCAAATACCGTACAATGTATATCCATAGAAATGTGTCAACAAGTTTTGCTGAATATGAAACCAAATCAGAGTGACAATTCCACTTTCTCAGATTTAACATTTTGACCTAAAGTTGCACTATGTGTGGCTTCTATATAGCAGCACTGACCCCCAGAATGTTCACTATCTATTGGCCTTGTACCCACGATACTGTACAATTGACCATATTTGGATAAAGTTTAACATGGCTGTTAAGGTGTATGCGGGAACGCATTTAAGTGTTGTCGTTTTGAAACAATCACCAATGTCCAAAAGCTATCGATATATTTTGCTATATTTAAAAGACAAGCAAATGAATCTGTATATCATATCAAAAACACTCGAAAATAAGTCTGTGCTATCTTGGGACCCACCTCCCATACCTAAACACATCTTTAGTACCGGTAACCTTGTTTGCAAACTGTTAAATATATTGTAATCCTGTGAGGCAAAGTACATTTAGCCTTTATTTAATACTGACATGACAACTCTGTAAAAATATAAATACATGTGCATGGACTGTGAGTTCATCAACATTCGCGTACACAAATCTATAAGTACGCAGCCCACCCAATATACATCTGACATAGATTCTTTTCTGCTACAGCTTCTTGTATCAGGTAGTGTGTATGTCCTTCAACAGATAGTGGCAGCCCTCGACTTTTATTTTTGTTTTTCAGTATTCCCTGCAGTCGCTGTTCAATGTCTTTGACATGGGTCATTGCCTTAATTAAATAGATCAAAGCAACAAGTTTTAGAAACTATTATAATTAATAGTACCGTAGTCATATCTAAGTGGAGCAAACAAAAGTCTGAGACAGACAGACAGAC